GCGCCACAAGAACACGTGCCTGATGCTGTGCAGTGGGCCAGAGGTTCTAGGGTGGGGATGTCATGTCCAGTCCAGGTGGCTTGGTGTTGTGTTTCCCCCCCTCCTCTACTCGTCCCTCCCCAGCATAGATGCAGGTGAGAAGATAGGGCTGGAGAGTCACCGGGCCTGCTGGAGCAGCTCCATGAGCCGTCTGCTGGAGCTGCTGGAGCCTTGGCCGTGGGCTGGCCGGAGCCGAAGGTGAGGCGAGTCAGAGCGGAGGCTCGTTAGGGGAACACGGCCCGGCCCGGCGATACCCTTACGAGTTGGACAATAGGGGAGGTGGTGCGGGGGCCGTGGGGGCCGCACGGGCCGCCGGGGGCTTAAAGTTGGCTCCTGTTGGTTTGCCACCCCCAACCTATTGTGGCCGGGCCGGGACCGGCGGGCCGCGCGCTATCTCTGAAGCACCTCCCACTACTGACTACTGATTAGCATATTAACGCTGCAGAACTCCCCGGTCGGACCGGCCGACCGAATGGATTGAGCCAGAACAATGTTGGCAGCGATGGGGCACATTCAGAGAGAATCACAGGTCATTGGCGCGGCGCGGAGTGAGAGAAGCAGGGGGCAGCGAGGCAGCGAGGTGCGGCGTCGAACCCTCCAAGTGGGTGGGAGAGAGATAAAGTCCCGTCCTCGGGCTTTTGGTTGGGAGTTCGAAGTGCGAGCGGCGCGCCCTCTCACCTCTATCTCTATCGCAGTCACCCAAACTACATTATAAGAAGACTCCATAGGGTAAGACGCCATTGCCAGAGGGGCTCTGCCCCATAATAAGGTATTCCGGAGAACGGGTAAAGAAGAACAGCACGAATAACAAGGTGGCCCGTGATTCGTCGCCCGGTCTCCCCCTCCACTTGAGCGACGAATCACAGGCCCCTTTGTTATTCGTGCTGTTCTTCTTTTCCAGTTCTCCGGAATACCTTGTAGGGTTTCCATAGAGCAAAGTCATAGGGCGCATTCAGCGCATGAGCGTCCGGCCGTAATCGCACAGAACAGAACAGAGGTCTTGGCTCTGCCCTGCCATGGAGTGAGCGATACTCGGACACACGGACACACACACACATCGCCCACGGTGATCACGATAATGACTCTCATTTCTAGCGCAGCTCGTGCAGGCCCCGACGCCCCACGCCCCGCGCGACGCACGACCGAGTGTGCACGCGCGGGCACGAAATGTGATCTCGAACTGCACAACTTTATTGCCGCCCTTTCTTTGCACTGACTGACATCTATGCACCCATTCTGACGCCAGCCTGACGAGTCTTTCCGCGCCCCACCGTGCCCCCCAGCGCAGTATGAAGTTGATTTGTGAGACGTTTCTTCCCTGACGGTTAGTTTCCGATGTGATTTTCTGCGACTCGCGGCTGTCGCCTGCTTCAGGTGCGGGCGCGGGCGCTGCAGATGGGAAACGCGGTATCGCCGGATGAAATCTCTTTTTTCGTTTTTTCCTGAAAATGGCGCGCCCATTCGTCAGATGGGCGTGGCGCCTCGCGTGGCGCTCAGCGGCAGCGGCCTCACTCGCGCGCGAGGCGAGCCGAGGCGAGGCGACGGGCGATGAATTGCGTTCATTGCGTTACCGCCATCACGATCCCATTACCCCGTGCCAGTCTCCTTTACTGACCGAGCCGCGAGTCTGAGTCTGAGCGCGAGCAGCGTCCACAGTCGACGTCCACACGGTTCACCATAAAATAAGTGTAACTGCAAAAACAGTGAAAAAAATAAAAAAAATCACTAAAATGTGGCCTAATCAAAAAAAAGGAAAAAAAGAAGTGGATACGTTACCTAAGTTATCGGGAAGTATACTTACCTCGATACTTACTCTGATATCTTTCGATTGGAGCACGAAGTAGAACTTCCTGCTCAACTTACACTATTGTTCTTTGACGGATACAGCATCGTAAAATTTTGGTATGGTAATAATCGCGACATTTAGCTTGTTTTCCGGGGCCATAGGGCCAGGGCCTCGGCCAGGGCCGAACCTCGGACGGCGGCGGCAGCTTGGGCGGCCCCTTCCAGGCCCGGTGTCCGCGTGGCAAGCCCTAACGAGGCGGTTATTACCGTACTTTATCGGTTTCGGAATAACTTTCCTCTCCCCGTTTTCTCTCGCATTACAGCGTAATCGGCCTGCGGAAAACGCGCGCCGTCGTGTATGGCGAGGGGGGAGGGAAGGGGAAATAAAAATTAAACGCGGCCCGCACAGCCGTGTTGACAAGACGCCTTGAGAAAAGTTTTTTTCAACAGACCCTTGTGGCCGTTTTTATACTTACCCGAATGTGGTTTTTAT